ATTATTCTCTCTCTTTTAAACATTTCTATTGCAAGGCTTAGCATATACTTTTTAAATGTTCTGTTTTGGTTGCTGAAACAAATGTTTGAATTCCCAGAGGCAGTTTGAGTTTCTCAAATCATGCATCGCATTCTGAGAATCTGGATTCAACAACCACTTTAATTGAAATTTCCTTTAAATGGCTATGGACTTGTTTTAATTAATAAAAGGAGCTTGCATGTACGAGTCTTGACATGTGCTGGAGGGCGGTGTAACTTACATACGTTCTCTCATTTAACCCTAGCTATGCCTTTATAAAGTAGATACTCCAATTAATCCCACAAAGTCTCACAATGTAACAGGAACCAACATAGAGCCAAAGTTAATTCTGGGACTTTATGCCTCTAAAGTCTATAGAGTTACCACTGTGCTATGTACTTGTCCCCCAAAGCTCAGAGCACAGTACTTTCCACGTGGTAAAATTCTCACAACAGTTGAAGTGAATTTGTGTCCTGGCAGCCCATATGCAGTGCTCACTGTTACAGTCAGAAATTTAAAAATTATCACTTCCACAGTAGAAGGATGAATATAACCATAAGACATTAATTTGCTTATTATTTTTTCCATTGAGGATATAATCTACTAATCAATCGTATACATCTCAGATGCTACACAAGCAATCCCAACTTTCTTAAATTATTAACCTTGACCTCAGTGATATTCAGGAAACATTAAAATGGGAAAATGCAATAATATTAATAACTCTACATAATGTGGTCAACTCCGTGAAATATGATGAGTTGCTTTTATTTGGAAAAACATAATGTTACTCTGTTTTTTGACTCAAGGGTGTTAACATTTTCAGTGTGAGCATTAATTTGTTTTCTTTTGATCATGCAATTATTACATTCATTTTCCTTAGTGAAATGGAAAAACATCCCAGTTGCCAAAGCTAATGATGTGTTCATAGGGGTTTAAAGTGTGTATCTCATTAGGTTTCTGTTTTTCAGCTGGTAAAAGTTTATGAAGTCAGTATTTGTTTCTCTTGGGTGAATTTTTCTTGTGTGTTTTAAAGATCCATTTACCATGTCCCTCAGGCGTTTGTGCCAATATCTGTCCTTCATTATCCTGGCAACAAAAGTTTGTCCCTTTGCAGTCTTACGCTGTTCAAATAGGTTTTGTCTGCTCTTCCCAAACACGAATAGCATACCTGCTTCGTGTTTTTTCAAAAAACATTTTTTTGTTCTTCATCTTTGAAAGAGGATGTTTATTCTAAGTCTATGAATCAGTATGAGATTTATTTTATAGCATCCTCGAGAGGTAGTTTTCTTATTGCAACTGTCTCAATATTGAAGCAAGTAAAAATAGCCATTTGTGATACTAACTATAGTATTTCCAAGAAGATATAAACCTGAGCTTCAGTCTCCTTTTGCAATACTGCCCTATCCTCTCTGTCCACGTGAAACCTGAAATTAGAATGTCAGGAGGATGCTGAGAGTCTGTTTGATTCTTTAGTAGTTGGCTAGATCCTCCGCTGTGAAGAAGCAACTTTGATATAATTATTTTTGTTCTGATAGGTGCAAAAAAGTGATGATAATAATAAAGAGCTTAGATGTGAATTTCATACTTTACAGTGGTTTTCAAATGCACTTCTTTCTTATTTGGTTTCACAACATTCTGGTTGGTAGGTGTTAACCCATTTTAAGAGAGACACAAAATTTAGAGAATTGAGTTGCAAGTCCAAGGTCACTTAATTAGTAGAATCACAAGTTAAACTTGGGAGCTCTGATCACAAACCCTGTTATAGTTCCACTTCACTGTCCATGATTAGATA